CATTGGGATTATATCTGCAGTAGAGAAGAGCTCTCTACATTTTCTCCCTGCACTTTATCTACCTGCATGAAACAATCCAGAATCTGGAACTCTGAAGACATAAAGTTCTATATTGTTTCAATGTATTATTGTAATCCCAAACTACCTTCTTCTTTTTTAGATATGGTCCCTCCTTGTACTCTTGCATGGGGAAAATACCACCATCTCTGCCCTTGCTGAACCTGTTCTGTAGTGAATCAGAAGGCTTTAGTCCCACAAGTGTCAATCCAGCATTTTTCATAAGTGCTATATTTTCCTGCATCTCTCTCTCTCTTACACGCACACCCTGTTTGTTTAATTTCAAAATGCAATAATTACCATTTATTTTATTCCAATTTAACTGCAATATGGTAGGTCTTTACCCATTTTCATAAGTGATGGATTATAAATTAAAACTGTATTCATCTATTCATTTAAAATATTCTGAAAACATCTCTGTGGGAAATTTGCACTGATCTGAGGGGTTAAAAACTTCTGAATTCCAGTCCAGTCCCTTGACATTGATTGACAGTGTGTCCTCAGTCATGTCACTTCACCTTTCTTCCTCAGTTTCTTCATCTATCAAATAAGTTTGACACTTAAGAACGTAAGAACACCCATACTGGGTAAGACAAATGGTGCAACTAGCCCAATATCCTGTCTTCTAACAAATGGCCTGTGCCAAATGTTTCAGAGGGAATGAATAAAGCAGGGCAATTATTGGGTGACACATCTCCTGTCATTGAATCCCAGCTTCTGGGACACCCAGGGCATGGCAATATGTCTGTAATCATCTTAGCTACCAACCATTGATAGACCTATTAATGTTCATTGATTTATCTAATTCTTAAAACTCTGTTCAGTAATTTCAATGGGTGACCCCCGAGCTCCTGTGTTATGTGAAGGAGTAAATAAAACATCTCTCTTCAATTTCTCCATATCATTCATCATTTTACAGACCTTTGTTATTTGCCCCTCACCCCAGTCATCTGTTTTCTAAATTGAATAGTCCCATTCTTTATAATCTCTGCTAATACAGAAACAGTTTCAAACCACTAATGATTTTTGATGCCATTATTTTAATGTTGTGCAATTATATATTTTTTTTTGATGTGGCAACCATAGCTGCACACACTATTAGAGGAGTGTGTGTGCCATAGATTCATACAGTATCATTATGATGTTCTTTTGTTTTATTATCTATCCCTTTCCTAACTGTTCTTAACATTCAGAGAAGTTTTTGAGTGCCATGGCACATTGAGCAGATGTTTTCAGGGAGATAGCCATGATGAGTGGCAACAGCTAATTTAGCTGTTCGTATATGTAGTTGGCATTATATTTTCCATTGTGCATTACTTGACATTTATCAACTCACTTTGTCTGTCATTTTGTTGCCCAGTCACCCAGTTCGAGAGGTCCCTTTGTGACTCACGTTTTTACATTTGGACTATCTTAAGTAGCTTTGCATCATTTGGAATCTTCGCTACCTCAGTGTTAACTATTTTTCCAGATTATTTATGAATATGGTGAACAGAAGTTGGCCCCTTACTGACTAGGGATGTAAAGGAGTGGGTGAGTCGAATACTCGCATTCCCCTACCCCTTGCTGTCTCTGTATCAAGGCATCAAGGTAGGAGGGAGCAGGAGCTGGTGCTGGGCGGAGCCATCTTAAAAGTCGGTTCCCCCCAACACTGTCTCTACAGTGCTGCTTCTCTCCGCCCCTCACTTCTGCTTCTATGAGAGGCAGTAGGGGAGGTAGGGGCTGCTGCTGCAGGGACCCCCTGCAGACGGGATTGCTGCCGGCTGGGCAGGCAGCCCAGCTCAGTCCTGGCTTGCGCCATGCCCAGGACCAAACCTTGTTATGGCTGTACAATTTAAAAGGCAGTAGGAGCCAGGAAGCCTGCTCTCCTTCCCCCGATCTCCTAATGTGTTTTAAATTGCAGAACCGCAGCAGGGTTTGATCCTGAATCCAGCACGAGCCGGGGCTGAGCTGTCTGCCTATTGACTAATTGAGTAGTCAATAAAAATTCTATTGACTACTTAATTAGTTAAATAGCTGCTTCTTAACATCTCTAGTACAGACCTCTGCATCACCCAACTATTTATCTCTCTCCACAGTGAAAACTGACCATTTAGTCATACCTTTGTTTCCTGTTTTTTAACCTCTTTCTGATCCACGAACGGACATTCCTTCTTATCCCATAAGTGCCTACTTTGCTTAAAAACCTTTGGTGAGGGATCACGTCAAAAGCTTTCTGAAAGTCTCAATACACTATTTCAGCTGAATCCATGTTTTCTGCTTGTCCACATGCTTTGTTAGCACTCTAAAAATATCCTAATAGATTGGTGTGGCCTGCTCCACCTGCCTCATACAAAGCTTATAAGGACTACTAAGGCCATATTTATACTTTGGATACTACAGCACCAGATATACCGTGCCATAACTCTGGTATTGTAACACCTTAGTGCAGATGCAGACTAACGCAATGCAAAGGGCATATTTTTGTAACAGTAGGAAGTCCACTTCCCTGAGCATCAGAAGCTAGGTTGATGGAAGCCTTCTTCTACTGACATCACTGTACCTGCACTGGCGGGAAGGTCGGCATGGATATTTCATACCATGAGCACCTACGTTTTAAGTATAGACCAGGCCTTAAATAATGACTGTACAATGTCCTGAATCTATAAATGACAAATTTATTTTCATTTTATTAATGCTAAGATTTATTATCAGCATTAAATTAATTCACTAGTTAAGTGATCATTAAATTATATTACTACTTATTAATTAGTAGTTGTATTAAATATTACTTTTTTGGATCACACCTCATCTCACTTTAGTATTATTGACAAATATTGATAGTAACATTAACTAATTTTACTAATAAGATGACTGAACTGAGGTTACAGTAGTAAACATATAAAACACAATACAAAGCAAGGTATAGCTCTGTTTTGCTACGTTTACCCTACAGTGCTATTTCAGAATATATAATGTGCTCGCTATTCCGATGTCCCTGTAAATCTCATTCCACGAAGAGTAAGGGATGTTTCGGAATAGCGATTTATTTTGCAATAAGTGCTTGTAGACAACGCCAAATCTCGAAATAAGCTATTTCAAAATGGACTCACAATAATCTATGCAATTTGTGTAGCTCAAATTGCATAGCTTATTTTGAGCTATGGGTGCAGTGTAAATGCACCGTGGAGACAGTACGTCCCCCTGTGTTTGTACTTCAGTTAACACAATGCAACTCGGATCCCAGCTGGATGCTTCTGCATTCTAACTATAACATCATAAATCAGGGTCGAAAAATTCTTTTAACTATTCTGCAGTTTTAAGTGTCCACTGAACAAAATTATAAACACCTCTTAATTATAGAACAACTAGAAGATTTACCTGGCATTGCCCAAGTCCATCAGTGCAGGGCCTTGGGAATGTGGGGGGCTTAGGTCAGGAGGCTGGGGTAATGGAGGGTGCAGGAGTCAGGGTGGAGGGTTGAGGAGGGCTTTGGAGCTGGGGGATGTGGGTTGGTGCAAATGTGAGGGTTGGGGGAGAGAAAGGGTCAGGGCAGGAGTGGAAGGTGCAGGAGGAATCAGGGCAGGAGATTGGAAGGAGGGGGACCACAGGTAGAGGGAAGGAGGCTTAGGGTAGAGGTGGCTGCTGGCTTCTCCCCATGGGCAGCGCAGAGTGGCTGGGACTGCAGACCCCCCACCCTGTGCTCCCCATCCTCCAACTTTTCCCAACCTTGGCCAGGAGTGGGAGGGAGAGGGTGTATGGGCCAGTCCTGCTGGTGTAACCACCACCAGGCAGATTTGATTGAACCTGCAACCTCTGGAGCTTAGTATAGGAGCCTCTACCCTCTGAGGTAAAAGCTCCCAGCCCATGCTGTAGAGATCTCTTGGTCTTATTTGCTGGGGGTGGTTCCTGTGTGGCCTAGGGGACAGGGTGCTTGCCTGGGAAGCATAGGGTCATGGGTTCTAGTCCTGGGTTGGGTAGGCAAAAACAGGTTGGGCCTGGGGCAGGAGGGTAAAGGGTGCCCTGACAGTAGGGTGGTGGGGTCTAGGTTCCACTGCATGGGACAGTGAACCACAGAAGGTGCATGGGTTATACTAACACTCCCATATCCCAGTCTTGGAGGTGCATGGGGTGGGGGCTCACAGGCCAGCCCCATCAGTGCTCCCCAGGCTGGTCTCTGGGGAGGAGGAGGTCCACATAGGCTGGCCACGGAATACATACACTGGTGGCCCAGCAAGGCTGGGGGGTGGGTTGTCATTCCTTGGG